CCAGCAAGCTACCAAGAGTATCCCGCCCACACGGGCAGAACTGACAAGCTTCCCAAGTCGTATTCAATATGCCAAAACCAGTAACTATAACGGGTCTCATTCCCCTGACCCTGAAAGAGCCTCCAATCGTTGTGAAAGATGAGTAAGGAGAGGCTGCTAAAATTTCAGGGCTGGGACAAATAGAGATGTTACTGGCACCCTCTCAAGTAAATTAATGATCAACAGGATGACAGTGATACAGTGATTGTTCAAAACTATAACTCAATATTTCTACAGGCTGCTAAATGACCTAGTAATAAACACAGTTTACACACAGTTCAGGCTTGCTCTCGGTCACTTTCTGATATCAACTACAATACTAACTGGACTCACCCTGAAGTCTATTAGATCCCCACAAATGACTCAGTTTATCATTGAAAGGTGGTCAAGTATTATCTTTCCATGCATTGCTTGACTCTTTCTTGCTGATACACTGCAGGAGAGTTATGCACTTCTGTTCATTCACGAGGAACACTGGTCTCATTAATTCCCACATTGTTTTGTCAGGTTTGCATGTCAGAGTAATAATGGCCTCAAAAAGGAATCAGGGATCCTTTCTCCCTAACCTTCAGTTTTTGGAAGTGTATGTGTTGACTTAGTATTTCTTCTGCAGGTATATGCCAGAATTCACTAGCATAAAAAAAGATGAAAACTGAATAACCAATTTTCCTTACGTGAAGGTTTTATAATGATTCAACTTCTTCAACAGATACAGTTATTCAGATTTTCTCTTTTCTCACACACCTGCTTTTGATGGATCAATGCAGTCCCTGGAAAGCCAGTGCGGGGTGGGGGGTGGGGGGGAGGAGTTAGGCGTGAGAGCAAGGGTGGGATGATAAACCTGTGAAAGGCAAACAGGGAAACAGCAGGAACGGGTGTGAGAAGCTATGAGAGCATGAGGCAGATCCAATGCCTGTGAAAGAAAGGAGGGAGGAACAGACCCTGAAGGGCTGCAGAGAACAGTTCTATGGACCCAAGGCGCAGGGCAGGCAGGAAGAGGCAGGCACCGCCCTGGAGCTGCCAAGAATGTGTGCTCCTTTTGCTGCTTGTTGTGGTTTGGGTGGACACACTGAGAGGTCCTCAGGGCTTATTCCTCATCAGGGATAGCCCATGGTGGTGCCAGGGATAGAACCCAGACTGGCCACGTCCAAGGACAGTGCCTTAATCCCTTACCATCTCTCCTGCCTGAAATCAATCGCATGACCTTAGCATATAAAGTGCTGTGCTACAGTAGAGGGATGATGAGCTTACTATGCTCCTCAGGGCTGATAACAAATCATGTGAGAAGGAAAACAAAGATCTGCATTTCTCAGTGGACATGTTCGGCACCCAAAGGTTAAAATTTATTGACATAAAGTTATTTCTAACATTTCTTCATTTTCTGTCTAGTATCAGTGGAATCTGCAGTTCCAAGTACAGATATCTGGGGCTGTGTCCATTTTTTTCTACTAGTAAGTATTTTAAAAATTCATTTTGCTGTAATTGTTTCTATTTATTCTTTTCTGTTTCTCAGAACTGCTCAGAGCTATAAATTTATGTTTTCATCAAATTTTGAAGTGTTCTGCCACTATTTCCTCAAATATTTTTTTCTGGTCCATTTGCTCTTTCTTTTCTTTCTGGGACCCCAATAAAAGAAAATGAAATTTATTTTAAATTAATTGTCTCACTGCTTATTGTATTTGTTCTTCAGAATGGAGAATTTATGTTAATATATACCAAAGATTACTGTCTCCTCTGCCATCTTCAACTCTGACACAGTAAACTGCTTAAAATGTAAAGTATTACAAATTCCAATTGGTCGCTTTTTCATGGTTTCTATGTTTCTTCTGGGTCTTCACACATCTGCATTCATGATACTAAGATTTCTTTACAGTCCTTTAACACATTTATAAATGGTGCTTTAACATTTTTTCATAGTGGTTTTATATCAAATTGAAGGTAATTAGTTCTTCAGAAATTGTTACGGTTGCATCCTAAGTATATATTGATTTTTTGAAGGCTCTTTTTTGCATATGATCATGTGCACTATAATTGTTCTATCAGTGATGGATTATATGGAGAGAGGTTATGCATTGTTGTTATAAGACTCACTCTGTCTTGATTTACATAGAGATGGGTATGACATGTAAGTTCAAACACAAAAGGATATAGTTAATTTTCCAAGGACTGTCTTCCTAGTGTTTGGTTTGTTGTTTTTGATTGTATGTATGTTTGTTTGTATTTTGTTTGGACGTTTTTGTCTTTGTTTTGTTTTCCACACCTGGAAATGCTCAGGGCTTATTCCTAGATCTGCACTCAGGGTCACTCCTGGAAGGGCTCATGGGAAAATATGGGGTAGTGGAGATCAAATCTGGGTAGACTACTTGCAAGGCAAGTGCCCTACCTGCTGTACTATCTCTCCAGCTCCACTTTTGTATTTTTATATTAGTATCGGGCTAGAGTGATAGCACAGTGGTAGGGCGTTTGCCTTGCACACAGCTGGCCCGGCCCAGCTGGGTTCGATTCCTCTACCCTCTCGGAGAGCCCAGCAAGCTACCAATAATATCTCATCCACATGGCAAAGCCTGGTAAGCTACCGTGACGTATTCAGTATGCCAAACACAGTAACAACAAGTCTCAAGATGGAGATATTACTGGGCACACTCGAGCAAATTGATGAACAATGGGAGGACAGTGCTATATCAGTGTCAAAGTGAGTTTTAAAAGGAAAAAAAGAGAAGTGTGTGCCATAGAGACAGGATAGGGAGCATGGGGGTGAAGGGACAGGGGCAGGAGGGAAACTGAGGACACTGGTGGAGAAAAATGTACACTATTGAAGGGATGGTTGTTGGAACATTGTATAACTGAAACTCAATCATGAACAACTCTGTAACTGTGTTATTTCATGGTGATTCAATATTTTAAATTGTTTTTAAAAAACAGCTTTAAAAAAGTGAGTTTAAAATGTGTGTGGGGGGGCGGGAATGTTAGTTGTAAATTCCAATGCCTGTGTCATCTTACCCTATTAATGGTTTAGTTGGTTTCTACTACATGCTCCCCTCCCCCTTAACTCTGGGTTGTCTTAGCCTATTATTTATATACCTTGAAATGTTTTAACTGTAGTCTGAACATCATCAAGATAAAACAATGCCAAGACTCAATCTGTTCTGTCTCCTGAGGAGGGTTGGTGTGTATTCTAGCAGGAAGTTATCCTGGCCAGAACCAAACTGCAAAATCTATAGTGAGTGGCAGCTGAAACTGATCCATTCTTTCCTTACCCCTCACAGTCTCTGAGCTTGGTTTACACTGCATTCTTGTCATTATACGGTGGCACTCCCCACAAACTGCATCCTCTTCCTAACTCTCCAAGACTGAGACTTTTGCTGTGTCCTGTTTTCTGGAAAACAGCTGTCCTCGGGCAAAAACTGTAAACACAAATTTCATGGAGAACTGACTTCCCTCCTCTTCCTGTCTGCTTTCTGCTGCCATTCAGTTCCTCCAGAGTTGATTTTAAGTATTTTTCTTTACAATCTTGTTCAGATTTAGAACTGCTCTCTGCACTATTACTTACTTAAGCAACTACTCCATCACCAGAACCAGGAACTGAGAACTAGTTTTTTTTTTTGCCTAGGATTTCAGAGGGAAACAATGGCTTGCAAGCAAACTATCAGCATATCAATATACTGAAAGAGTGAAAAACGGGCATGTAACTATAAAGAATTGGCATTGTCTCCAAAGTTCCAGGCTCATCTCTCTGGATAGACTCTGGCTGACAGAGAATGACAAGACTGCATCCCATCTTCACCATCTGACTTTAATATCTGCATCAAGGAAATGATGCTAATTTTACTATCTTGTGTTGTGGATGTATGTGTGAATGAGTGTAAATATTGAGACTGTGCCCAGGACAGAGTAAACTCTCCTAACAGATGACTTCTGCTGCCATGATCATTAAGTGCTTTGACTGTGTTAAAAATATATATTAAACTAAGACTTGAGAAGATTTATCCTAAAAATTGAGCTTAGCTTTTCTACTTTATTAGAATGAAAGGTGGAAGAGTTCTGCTAATAGTTTCTCTATGTGGAAAGGCGCGAGGAAGGTGAAGAATTTGAAATCTCTTTCGTCTACTAAAGATGATCAGATTTTTCTCTAAGCACTTAAAAAACATTCAATCTTCTTTCTCAAACTGAAATTCTACTCAAGATTTTCACAAATGCGAAATTCATCCATCCTCTATATAGTATCTGTCAGACCTAGGTGGGTTCATGTTTAGTGACTACAAAGGGCTCTGAGGGCCGGGGGGGGGGGGGGTGGCATAGTAGGCTGAGCACATGCTCTGCGTGCAGGACGCCTGGGTTCAAGCCCCAGGATGGCATGGTTCTCCAAATGCCACTGGACCAACTCCAAGCAGAGAGCCAGGAGTCAGCTCATGAGCAATGTCAGAAGAGGCCCCCCAAAAAGCAACAAAAGAAATGCCATAATGAAAATAACAAAAGGATCTAAAACGAATTCTGAGAAAGCCATTCTGGGGTCTCCAGGTACAATACACATCCCATTCAGTTCAACAGGTCACTGGGCACTTTATGAGACTCCATAAACAATTTTCATTTCATACTTCAGTCATGAACTTCTGGATGTGAATCTTTTTCTTACTCAGCCACTGAAGAAAATCAAAGATTTCTGACTTTGAACATCACATGGGCCACAAAAAAGAACATTTTTGTTTTAAGTAGTCTCACCCCAGGGGAACAGCAATCCTGACGTGATCATTCTGTGACCACCAACATAAAATACCCTTTCTACCACAAAGAAAAAGGAAGGGGAAATACATTTTTAAGGAATTTGTTTATAAGGACATCAAAAACAAAGCAAAAAAAAAAAAACCTATCATTTAACACAAAATATCTAGATGCAGTCAAATGGCAGCATGACAGAAAAAAAGAAAAGAAGAATTATCATATACTATGTATCACATTCTTACCAAGGTTTCATGATCTTCTGCAATTTCTGGTACCGGCTGCAAAATTGAAAAATAACCAGGTAAGAAACATGTTTTTTTTCATATGAAGGCAATTTTTACACAAACAACACGTCTTAAAGTTCAAGATTAGACATTGGGCATATTTAACTTCAAGATGTAAGGGAACTTTATTCATTTTAACATATTATTCAAAGTAATAAATTCCTTCAAAGTAATAAATAAATACCTTCTTTATTACAAGAAAGAATAAGAAAGAATCCAAAGACAATTATAAACTTGCTTGAACCAACCTAACCTGAAAGTAGGTAGACTGCATTTACTAGAGGTGGGGAAATCTCAACAGAAAACAACGATTTATTTCCATGGAAAGAGTAGGAGCAAAGAAAAATATTGCACTAATCATATCTAAATGTATATGCAATAAGGAAAAGTTGGGTTTTATTTATTTATTTATTTATTTTTGGTAAAATGCTAACTAAATCTACTTCTTTTTTTGAGAGAAAGGACTGCTTCCTTGAAAGGAAAAATCATGGCATATTGCAATAGTCTCGGAAAACTGGAGGCGGATGTTTGAAAAACTAATCGGCTGCACGGACTATTCTGTCTCTAAAATTTTAATTTGTATTGTCTTAAAAAATTCTATTCATATCAAGGAGATAAGGAACAAGTGATTCTGACCTCATGAAACCACATCCCTTAAATATCTGGCCTTACGTGTGCCTTTCCCTCCTCATTCCAAATAGTGCAGTGCAAGCCCACCCCTGAGTGTAGACCACTCTGGGAAGTGGCCTCCTCTCCACCCCGCCCTTCGCACTGGCCACGCTGAGGGAGCACCAACATCTGTACCCACTGAATTGAATCTAAGTCACCTCAGCCCCACCCCTCTTAAAGGCAGAGGGACATGCAATGATAACCTTCTAGTACCTGTACTGCAAACCATAATTCCCAAAAGGACAGAGAGCAAGAGAGGGAGTATGGGAAGGAGGGAGGAAGGAGACTTAGAGAGAGAGAAAGAGAGAGACAGGGAGAGAGAGACAGAGACAGAGACAGAGAGAAAGGAAAACCAACAGTGGAATGGTTGAGAATAGGACATACATCTTTCAAACAACGCACAGGTCCATGCAAGACGCCCAATGTGCCACCTGACCAGATAAACCAATGACAATGACATCTGGAAGGCCGCTGGTGGCCAGGGACTCCACCTCAGCCCAGGGTGAGGCATTCTTTTCCCTGAAGAAGAATCTTTTCTTCCCAGCATTCCATTTGCACTGCCAGCAGGTGGACAATGAGGCTGGGGACACAAAGTAAAGCTGGGCAGGGGCAGAGAGTGCTCTTAGGAGATTTTCTGACTCTCCCTCAAACACACACACACACACACACACACACACACACACACACACACACACACACAGCCCAAGGACTGATACCTTTAGCCCTTTTGAGGCATGTGATACACATTCGTAGCCAGGAGCCAGAGCGATTTAGGGGAGGGGAGAGGAGAGAAGGGGGCGAAGGGGTGGGGACAGAGGGAATGGGAGGGGAAGCAAAGGGAAGAGGAGGGGAGGCAGAGGGAAGGGGAAGGAAGTGAAGGAAAGGAAGGGCGGGGGAGGAGAGGGGAGGGGAGGGAAAGGGAGGGTAAGGGAGGGGAGGAGAGGGGAGGGGAGGGAAAGGGAGGGTAAGGGAGGGGAGGAGAGGGGAGGGGAGGGGAGGGAGAGGAAAGAAAGAGAGGAAAGAGGAGAGAGAGGAGAGAAAGGGAGAGGAAAGAAGGGGAGGAGGAGACAAGAGAGCACAGGAGGGGAGGGGAGGGGTGGGGAGGGAGGTGGGAAGGGGAAGGGAAGGGAGAGCTAATCCCTGCCAGGACAGGCAATAGAGGAAGCCCTAACCTGTGCTCTGGAAGGCAGCTGAGGGCAGGTGCTGCAAGGGAGCCTCATGCTGTGTGTGGTCAAGAACAGCTCCACCCCCACCCCTGAGCAACCAGGCTGAATGCAGGCTCAGCTGACCCTTCCCATAACACCCAAGCTTGAGTCAGAGGGGAGGATCCTCGGAGGCTACATGGCACTTTCCAAAGCAGACTCATCTGGGTGAAGATAAGATCACCTGAAAGGTCATACTCAGTCCCAAACTGCATGTGCCTCTGCTTCTACTGCACACACTGCCACAGGAACTGCAGGCAGGGCCGGCTGCCCCCAATAACACATACTGCGTGAGAATAACAGTGACAAGGTGGATGATGATACACATCCAATGCTCCACACTCAGACAATATACACTTTGCTAAATAAATAAAACCTACAGATCCATTGTCAAGTGTTGGAGATGAGGCAACTTTAAAGCCAAGACATCAATCAGTTTGCTGAACAAGCAACCTCAATTTTCATGTCTCTGAAGAGCCAGCCACAGCTCTGGCACAAGCCAGAGAAACAGAGTGGGAAGGTGAAAATGTAGTAGAAAACTGTTACTGTGTTTATAAACAATACCAATTTTCATAAACCCAAACCTATAAGCCCAAACATACAAACATCTTCACCTGTGTCATGTGGATGTCACAATGGGGAGGGAACTAAAAATTTACACTATTAATATCGTATGTTTGAAGACAATCACAGAAGGCCTTGGCATATCCCTGAAATATCTAAGACCCCAACCACTATTTCTAATATGGCCATTCTGGACCAATGACTTCAACCAAGCAAACGAAAGCATTTGCAAATTCCACAGATTAAGGAGAACTCCTCAAATACCTCACTGCTATTTTTCTCAAGCAGGCTGATGGAAATCCACTCTACACAGGCCAGCGGGTTAGAGTGGTGATCCTCCCACTTGAATGACAAGCCAAAAATGAGGACACTTCAGCGAGCTACAGAACTGTTCTTATGTTTAAAACAGCTTTAAAACGTGTGTGGCTGACTCAGACATTTTATTTACAAAAGAGAATTTATACATTCACCAAGATTTTACTAAGCTGATTTGAATGTTCAGAGTCAAGGGGGGAAATGAGTGCCTTTAAAAACCACACAAATATTCAGTAACTGTTGAATACTTAAGTCTACAGACTGTACATTTTTCACATTATATACCATACTGCATATCTATAGCAATAGTATCTCAATCAAACTTTATAAAGGTGACACAAGGCAACAAAAATGGTGATTGGAGCAATATTTAACTGCATGAAACTATTGTTAGGTGCCCCAAAACACGCTCCATGCACTATTGAGCACAAAAAGAAAAAAATGGTAAAATCAAAATTCTATATTGTGGGACCAGAGCTAGCTCAGAGGACTAAGCAACTGCTTTGCAATCTAGAGACCTGGGCTATATCCCTGACACCACATGGTCCCCAAAGCAATGGGCCAAGAGCAGACTCCAAGCCCCATGGGTGAGACCTAAAACAACTCAATGTACATATGTGTGATACACTGCACGGTAGGGCATGCATGTGCCCTATCTGAAAGCATGCATACAAAAGATACACACCAACACAGTAAATTCGTTTATTATGGGGGTGGTTTTAAAATGTTTTCTGTTTCCTCCTGTATATACTTTCTTGAACAATCACAGGAGTTGGGCGGGAGGTCCCCAGGCAGCCTGGATGCCAGATGCGAGGGATCAAGGCCGGGGCTGCCCACATCTGCATTGCCAGGTTTCCGCAGGCCACTCTGCTGCCACTGGGGATTGAGGGCTGTCTCCAGTAAGGCCAGGGGCCCTAGTGGTGCAGACATGGAGCTGGGTCAGTCACATGGGAGATGCGTGTCCCAGGCCCTGCACTGTCTCTCAGCCCCTGGATACAGCCTTTTTTTTTTTTTTTGGTAACCAAAAAAACCACTTCATTCATTTGTTTTTGGTGCTTGGGGCTTACGTGTGACTGACTCTGGGGTCACTCTTGGAGAGGGTCGGGAGACAGTATGGGATAGCAGGGATCGAACCCAGACCTCCAGTCCAAGGCAAACATCCTACCCTCTGCACTACTGCTGCGGACCCATGATTTTTTTTTTTTTAAGGAAAAAAGCTACCAAAAGCTGCCTGAGTACATAAATCCAACTTTTTTCCACTCTTGGATGCTTCAGCACAGGGCGGTGCTGGAGCCCAGTCACATCCAAGGGCGTGATTTTCCTGTCGCATGGCCAAATGGGAGGGAGAGCGCACGGGTCCTGCCCTTTCATTCTTGGAAATGGTCCCCTGCTCTGCTGCCGGAGTGTGGAAGGACTCAGGGTGAACTGCCCAATTGTGTGTGTGCGCAAGCAGAGACAAGGAACACGGTGTCTCGCTGAGACCCAAAGAAAAGCCGATTAGTCACTACACTGGATTGAGAGCAGCAAGTACTTTTCCCTTCAAATAAAGTGAAATTCATCATTTCTGAGAAATCTTTAAATAATCATTTTTTTTTTAAAAAAAAGCTGCTGTTCAGGGCTAGGCTGTAGATCCCAGGCCCCATGTAAGAGTCACCTACATGAGGCTCTGAGCTCAATCCCGGCCAAGTCCACACCAGCTCCCCTCTTCCCTTCCCTGCTGCCCCAGGTAACCAGGGAAAAACCCTGATAACAGAGCAGCGTCCACTGATGCTTCCCTCAGCCAGCTCAGGCCAGACCAACTCTCTCCCCGGAAACCTACTAGCTTCAAAACAACTACCTATGTTTTGAGCTGAAACGAGAAAAGTCATTTAAGAATTTCACTATGACAGAAAACTTCAATTCCAGTTTCCAATGCTCTGCACTGCCATAATGACATTTTTTCCTGCTTCCTCTGTGAGCAGCTGGAAAGAAACCTTCAAAAACTCAGCCCCAGGTAACGAAGAGCAGAAGAGCAGTCTTTCACTCTCCTTAAGGCTCAGAGTGAGGAGAAAAAATTCCACCTACATTTTCTTCAGTATTTCCTAAAAATTTCCACAGGTCCTGCTGCGGAACCCTCTGCCGTTCCCACCTGGCTGTGTGCCCGGGGCCAGTCGCACGCCTTCCAAAGGGCAGCATCCATTTAGTTTGTGTGGTTCCAAGCCCAAAGAGTGCCATCAATTAATTAAAGTCTTGCTCAAAGTGTAACGAGAAGCTAGGCTTTCTTTGATGAGGAAAAAATGGTCTTGTATTTTCAATCAGAGCAAAATCTGAAAAACAGCTACTGGGTCAAATGAGCCAAACTTTTGAGAATGAGTTGCAAGAGCCAAGGGAAAGAAGGCAGAGGCTGGCACCCCGGTCCCTCCCCCCTCCATCTCCTGAAGCAGCAGGACTTGGAACTTAGAAGTCAGCAGTGCCCCAGAGGTGAAGCAGAGACAGAGTCCTTCCTCCTGGGCCCGAGGTAGGGAGATGGAACAGACAAATTTGCCAGAACTCGCCCAAGACCTGTCCTGGGGTCTGGCTATCTGTGAGCAAGCGAGCCAGTTCTGTAGGCTCATGGTCTCCTGCTCAACAGCAGTCACAGAGAGGCCACCAGAACATCCCTTCACAAGGCACAAATCTGAGAGAGCTACTGTTCACTCTGGCTGTCCCCAGGGCCAGGTCTGGGGCTTAGGGCATGAGGAGTCACAGCAGAAGACAAAAGCATAGATCTAGAAGGTGAAAACGACAGATAGACCACCAAGAGTGATCCCTGAGCACAGAATCAGGAGTCAGCGCTGAGCATTGTTGGGTGTGGCCCAAAAGCAAAAAAAGAAAAGCAGTAAGTAATAATAAGTAGTGCTAATTTAGGCTAGGGATATAGTATGAGGGTCCTCGTACATCACATGCTGCGGACCCCATTTTACCCCAGGCACCACATAGTTCCCAAGCTCAAGGGATGTTTCCCCGGAGCCCCTGCCCCACCAACTATAGTCGTATGCGACCCCCAGCTCCACTGAACTGGCCCTGGTAGTCCGCAGCACCGCAGGGCTGAGCAGAGCAAGTCCTAGGTTCCAAGCACTGAACACTGCCGAGTTCCCTGCAAACCCCGGGCAGAGGCCCCCAGAGCCCCAGAGAAGCACGTGGGACAGCCCTCCACCAAGGAAAGGAACGCTGACAAGAAAAGCACAGAGAAACAGCTCTCACTCTATGACTGTTCAGACAAGACTGGCAGAATCCCTCTGTTACCACTCTGGGGGGACGATGACCCTGTCCAGGAAGCTGGGTTGAATCCAGGAGGCCGGGGCTATAAAATGAGACAGAAACCTCACTGATTGGCGGACACCAACCCTCCTGGGATGCTGATCTTAGAATTCCGGCCTCCAGACTGGAAGAAAATACACTGCTATTTTTTAGGTCACGCAGTCTGGGGTATTTTGGTCAAGCAGCACAATTCCAACAGTTCTGGAAGCACTGACACATCAGCAGCACGGACAGTCCTGAGCCGAGGGCGCTGCGTGCCAGGGGCCAAATGGCCCCAAGGGGACAAAGATGAATGACTACATGCACAGGATGATATCCACATGACCAGCCCTGAGCATCTGTCCCTCACAACCCGGATGTTTCCCTAGGTCAGCCCACACAGAGCCCAAAACTAGTGTCATTCAACTTTCCTCTAGCTATTTTAAGTTTCAGCTCCAACTTCAAGTAACCACTTAGGATTCTAATAACACCCAGGATTTACATTTCTCTGCTCTACTCCAAGCACTGAGACGGATGCCAAAACTAAAAAGCAGAGTTTTAGTCATCATTAAAAAATGTAAATGATCCCAGCCTCAGTCTCCAACTGACCTCCAAATCTGGAGACTGCTTGTCAGTCCTCTTTGGGTTTGATTCCCAGCACCTCACCCCAATTCTACCTTAGATACTCTCTCCACTAGTCTGTTAGAGAAGATTCCCCCACCGCAAACTCTACAAAACCCTCTGGCATAGAAATATTCCTGTTGTTATAAAACTTCCTCTTTGATCAACAACAATAACAAAAAAAATCTCTCAGGAGTGCCAACTGCAAAGGCTAAGTAATGTCAAATGTAGGAGGCAACAGACAGGGAAGAAGAATGGGAGGGAGGGAGGGAGGGAGGGAGGGAAAAAGGAAGAAAGGAAGTGGGCGGGGACTGTTTTCCAGCATGGGTCATCTGTAACCCTTTCTGTGACTCACCAGGTACTGGAAACAGATGTAAATGACCCCAGTTTAAGTCCAGATGTTAAATGCCATTTACTCTCTCCTAAGGAATCTATCTCTAGGCCCTGAACAGCATTAATTTAGCATATTAATATGTAACTAATAGACTTAGCAATTTCACATGCTCTGAGTCTGTGCCAATATTGGCCGGAGCATCTGGGAAGGGCAGCTGGCTGTGGAGAGTGGGCTGCTGGGGGGATTCTCTGTCCATCGTGATGACTAGACCCCATTTGGCTCATTACTTGTCAATTCTGAAGAAAACCAAAGCCTTCCTGGGGAAGGAGAGTACTGTCTGCCAGTTCTCACTCCAATGAGGCCTCCTGACTATCACCATTCTGGAAGGAAAAGGTGAACCAGGTGCGGGGCAGGAATTCTCCATGAATTCTGCCCCAAACAAGTTGCAGGGAAGGCTGACATCCTTTTCAATTTTCCCAACTTCCAGCTTTTTTGCTCACAGCAAGATCTTAGTGCCTATTATATTTAATTTTAAATAAACACAGCAACTCAGCTACTCGGCTCATCATTCAAGTGCATAGTTACCTCAGGGAGGCTATTTTTGCCTGGTCTGATACTTTGAAACATAAGCAGAAATTTCTAATATTGTTTTAATGGAGTCAGGAAAGGAAAATTTTTTTCTTGGGGCTCAGAAAGAGACATGAGAAACTTCTATTCTGTAGAACTATGATTTAGTGCTGGAAAGGTAACAGAGATAATGAGCTCTTTTTCCTTCTAACTGACATTTCCAGCATTTCAGGGAATTTGCGGGCGGGGGGGGGGGGAGGGGAGTGACAGAGTGACGAGATGGCTGGCCGCAGGAGCCCGGGTTGTCTGCAGTACTTCCCCTGGGCTTGATCTGATTCTGATCCATCACCTTAGCAGGTGCAAGAGCACCCCCGCCCCCAGCTTTGAGGGAGAGCCCAGGAGGGGTGTCGAAGGAAGAAGGATGCTTACTCGGTGCCGCTCTCCACCATCTGCGTGAGCAGGGAGACACCATCCAGGTTAATGAACTCCTGGGCGAATGTGATGTCCCGGGACAGGCTGGCCAGGTCCTTCAGGGCCTCCAGCTTGGCGTCCATGCTCGACGACTGGATCCGCTCGTGAAGCTGCTGCGCGTTTTGAGCCTCGTGGGGCCAAGTAAACAAGGGGAGACAAACACAGAGAGACAGAGACAACAAAGTGAACATCTCGTGGGAAACCAGGACACAAAGCAGGAGACCTCCCACCGACCACACCGGCCTCCCCACGCTCTGGGCAGCACTGGCCACTGGTGCACCTGCCCCAGCAAGCTCTGCTCTGAGCGCCGCTGGCTCCCTTTCACAGAGCCCATTTCCTGCCTCTTGGAAAAGCAGGACCTCAAAATCTACACTGGGGGTTGGAGCATTTGAAAGGGAAGGATGGGAGATGGTTTACCTTCTAAGCAGACTTCCTGGGGCTGAAGCACTGAAACTGTCCACAGAAACCCCAGGCTGATCCTGGCCAGCCCTCCTCCCCGCTAATACAGAACCCAACGTTGCCCCTGAGCACCCCGCAATAGGGCCCCCAAGTTAAAATCAATGAACCAATAAGCAGACATTATCTGGAAGTGACAAAAAGTCATTTGCTTAGTTAAGCAATTATATAAATGTATACAGAGTGCTCCCCATTTAGCCAATAATCTGAGTAATAACAACCTACACAGAGTTTAAAAGCTTCATTAGACACCCAAATAATCTTTCCAGGGTACTGAAAATCTTCCAGTACCACACAACGATGCTTGTAAACCCCATTTTTTTAAACAACTTGCGTTCACATACTTTGGATACATACTCTGGAAATTTCAAATAAAACCACTTGGAAACCAAATCCTTGGGAGATCAAGTTTGCTTACTCGTGGACTTTTTTCCTTCTTTTTCCTTTTTAATTCCTATTGAACTATTATAGTTTAGGTCACCTTGCAAGTGTGTGGGCATCATGGTTCTGGTCATACAGTGAAACGCCTACCCCACGCCTGGCTGCCAGCCCCAAGGGTCCTCCTGTCAGCCTGTTCTAAAAGTGTCTGAACTAGCTGGACCCGCCGAGGGGGCACTTCTGGAGAGCCCGCACTTCTGGATAATCACTTAACGTCTGTTTGTGCACCCTGTAAAAGTTTTCATAGCCACTTTTAAGTTGAGGCAGACAGTAGGAAAAATTTTAAATTACTAAATTTTCCTCTCTGTGTTTTCACTTAATATAGCATCTGTTGTAGCTATTATCTAACTCAAACCCACGATGGCTGAGCTACACTGTCACCCTCTGATCCTTTGCTTTAGCCTCTAAAGCTACACTTAATTTCAGGGGAAATGGAAGAGAGAGCTTATTTAAAACTCCTGAAAATGAGGGATCTTAGGGCTGGACAGATAAAATAGTGGGTGATATAGTAAAACTTGCCTTGTATGCAGGTGACCCGGGTTCAATCCCAGGCACCCTACATGGTCCGGTGAGTCCTTTCAGGAGTAATTCCTGAGTGCGGAGCCAGGAGGAAGGCCTGAGCACTGCTGGGTATGGCTCATATATGTGTGTGCATGTATACACACACATATATGTATATATATAAAACCTATATCCCATATGTATGTGTATGAAGAATCTAGAAGACACCTGAGGAGCTCTGTGAATTCATAGCAGGTAGAGTGCAGAGGAAACAGAGGTCCCACAGGCTCTGAGACTACAGGGGCTTCACCCCGGGGTCCCCAGCTCAGCCCTCTCTGCTGTGCTACCTATCAGTGGCACCTGGAAGGCTGAGGTTTGGCCCTGCACAGGAGGACGTGCAGGAGAGGCTGGGAGCAGGAACGCACAGGCTGACGGGAGCCAGCGGATACTGCATCCCACCCAGAGTTCCAGGGCCGGGTTGGCTGTCAGCTGGACAAAGCCTCAGCTGCTGCCCATGCCCTGCCCGCAGACCACCTGTTGAAATCCCCAGCTCTGAAACAAAAGGGTGGCATGTCCACCCAGTCCACCGGGGTGTGAAGCTCTGATTTCTAACCCCCATCTCCTTTTCTCCAGCCAGAACAAATAGCTCCCTCCTGACATACTGCAATCCCACTAAATTATAATAAGTATCTACTAGTCTTTTTCAGTGAAAGCACTTTCCAGGAGGAAGACTGGCTCAAAGAGAAAGAGAAAAAGAAACTTTTTTCAATAGTTCAACAGAGTTCTGGAATATAGGTAAGTGAGAGGATATGCTCCTTTCTCCTTTTGCATGTGCTTGACCCACTTAGAAGTTAATGAAGGGATGTATCTAAAATAGAAGAAATGAAGAGACACAATTGCTAGCCCCAGGAAAGGACCAGTGTCCCTGGCAGAAAAATCAGGAGAGAAAAATCCCAAAGACACACACGACTGGTCAAAGAATTCCATTATAGAAATTAAAAAAAATTTCTTTGCCAAGGAAGATCAGAAAAATCAAAGCAACTGACTTGTGGGGAGTCTCGTCCAGAGAGTTGGTCCAGGAATGGTGACGGAAGCTCCAGCGTGCCAGATTCATCTCAAATACAGCGTCCTGAGACGTACCCACTGCATCCCCTCACCGCTCACCCACTACACTGCCCCGTGCCACATGCTACCATGAGATTCGGGGAGGATCCCACTGTGGGCTGGGGGTCTGTAAGGAGTCAGGTCTCTGTTGGGCGCAGGATTGGGTGAGGGGGCTGGGTCACACCCAGTTCAGGGCGACACCCCAGGCAGTGCTGGGAATCCAGCCTGGCTTGACCTGTGGGAGAATCTAAGCACCCGAACCCTTGACCGAGTGCAGGAACATGGACGCTCCCTGGTGATGGCTGGGCGTGTTTTATCTCGGCGTCATGGCAGAAGCGACCTCTATGCCAGGGGAACAGCGTCCGGAGGAGGGTAGACTGGTGTCTGCTGTGGGCAGATGCAAAAGTTTCCTGAATGATGACAAGGAGGGGACGTCAGCCTCTGGTTAGCTCTGAGCCCCGGGAAGTCCTGTCACCTTCGTGGTCACATTTCACCAGCAGCACATGGATGGGCCGAGATGAGACCAGACATCAAGTTCCCAGTGCGTACAGGTAGGCACAGCAAATGGACGGAATACTACATGGAGGCCGTGTACTATTTCTAATCCCCACCGTCCTGTGGTAGGGATGTCTCAGGACACTGTATTTGAGATGAATCTGGCATGCTGGAGCCTCCGTCACTGTTCCTGGACTGACTCTCTGGCCGAGACCCCCCACAAGTCAGTTGCTTTGATTTTTCTGATCTTCCTTGGCAAAGAATAGACAAAACCCCTAGAGGCTGTATGCTGGATGGACACATTCTCATGATGGAGAAAGGCTGGGATGCAAAGGCTCCTTAGTGTTTGGGGACAAAGTTACATGTTCACAACTGTGTATCTGCATTGAGAACACAGACTCCAGGAGAAATGTGTCAGCAACAGTGCCAGGAACGCAGTAGTTTAAACCAAACCCACTAGCTGAGTGGATTCTATACGTGATTAATACATATTCACTCATATGTACACAGACCCATATATTTGCATACAATTGACCAAGAGAAACAAATCAAGATCTAACCCATGGTTATTTGTGAACTGCAATTTTGCATAATTTTCTCTGGAGCAAGATCACTTCCAAGTGATTGTATTATTCTGCAATTATTTGGGAGATATGGTAGCACTTTCCCCTAGCACTGTCCTCCCATGGTTCATCGATTTGCTTGAGCAGGCACCAGTAATGTCTCCATTGTGAGACTTGTTGTTACTGTTTTTTGCGTTATCTAATACGCCACCCGGAGCCTGCCAGGCTTTGCTGTGCGGGCGGGATACTCTCAGTAGCTTGCCAGGCTCTCTGAGAGGGACGGAAGAATCGAACCCGGGTCAGTCATGCAAAGCAAATGTCCTACCTGCAGTGCTATCGCTTCAGCCCGGGAGATATGGTATTCACTTTAAAATATTTTTTAAAAATCTGCCTGGGTTTTCAAGAAATCAGCACAAATGACGAGAGTCGGGCACTTGGGTTCTGTTCCAAGGTAAACCTAAGTTCCGCACTGAGCAGACAATGAGGCTGTGTCACAGTGATCGGGTTCACAGAGGCAGAAAGGTGCCCGTGTGCCAAGCATTGGTCATCTCTGCTCCTCAAGGTCCTGACTATTGTTCTCCCCAAGAAACCCCCAGTTTCTGCTCTTTGAACCAATTAAAAACCAAAAAACCTTTAGGCTCAGTTGTTCACAAATATTTCATTTGTTGTTTTTATTGTTTGGTTTGGGGCCACACCCAGCGGTGCTCAGGGCTTACTCCTAGCTCTGTGCTCAGGGCTCACTGCTGGTGGTCTAAGGGGACCAATACAATGTCAAGGATACAAGACAAATGCCCCACCCGCTTCACTCTTCCCTGGTCCCAGTATTTTAAATGTGCACTCAAAATCACTAGTAACCCATCCACAGTTTTCTAGAACATTCCCTATGTCCCTCCAAAATGTCTCCATCACACCGTGTCTTCTCTCTGTAACTTGCCCCTACAGTGATCATGCTTCAGATTTCACGGAGGAGATCGGAGCAAGGGGCCAGGCAGGCTCACAGACCGTCTGTACCCATTGACCGTTTGCACCATGGACTGTCTGTGCCCGCCGACTGTCTGCGCCCACTGATTTGCTTGTGCCAATCATCTGTGCCCATTGACCATCTGTGCCCACTGATCATCTGTGCCCACTGACTGTCTGCACTTACTGACCACCATAGACTCACTGATCGTCTATGTCCACTGACAGTCTGCGCCCACTGACCATCTGTGCTCACTGACCGTCTGTGCTTACTGACCATTTGACCCCACTGATCGTCTGCACCCACTGACTGTCTGCCAGGCTCTGTTTCTAGATGCTCCAATCTGCCCTGCTGCCCAGGAAGGGCTATTCCTACCTCAGTGCCCATGCTGCTCGCTCTCGCCTTCTCAGGTCTCTCCTCAGGGTTTCACATCCTGTCTGAGGGGTTCCTGCAGGGTTCATTCCCAGCTGCAAACATCCCTGCCAACTGCTGAGGTAACAAACCAACAGCAAGGGCCCCGAATCCCTTGTCCCGGTCGCTCTCTCTTGCCACATCCTCATTTCACTGCCCCCAGCGAATCTTCTGGAAATAAAGTAGAGTGAGCTTCGAG